TCTTTTTCACATATAAAATTTCTTTAAAAAAAATCGATTTTTTTTAAAGAAATTTTATATGTGAAAAAGAAGTTTTTAAAGATTTCTCAAGAACTGCTAGGCCGATTTTAACGTTCTTACTACCATTAGATGCTTCTTGATGAGCTTTACAATTTTTGTTACAAGCCCAAGAGTGATTTACTTAGTAAAAAAAAAGTTTTAGATAGATGCGCTACACATTTGGGCTTATAGTAAAATTTACATATAAAAAAAATATATTTGTTTAGGTGACTTACGATTTGCCTATTAAAATTTTAAAAAAAATAGATTATAACTATATTTATAATAATTTTTTAGACAAATTTGTTTAGAAAAGCTCTACAATTTAAGAGATATAAAATTTAAATATGTTAATTAATTAATAAATAAATAATCTATTTATCTACTATGTTTATGCAAGCCAAATCTAATAAGATATATATTTAATATAATTGCATAATGTATTAAATTTAAAAATTATAAATAACTAATAAATCTTATAAGATTTATATATTTAATTAATTATTTAACTTTGCAAACATGATTTTAATATCATTAAATGAAAAAAAAGTAATCATTAAAAATAATATCTATTTATTATCAAATATATAAAATTTACAAGTTTTTTTATTTAATATTTATTATTTATCTACAAAATAATCACTATAAATATGACAAAACTATATAAAAAAATTAGTATATAGCATATATCACAATTTTCTATAAATACATTATTATTATAATATATTTATTAAAATTCAGTCACCAAATTATATATTAATTGATAACAATTAAAATTTTATAAACCTCTAATCTATACTAGTAATGCATTTAATACCTTTTCTATTAGCTAATATTAATGCACTTTTTAAATATAAAAATTTATATAATAATGTACTATAATTTAAAAATATTATTATTATTATTATTTTTTAAAGAGTAGATGCTTTTCTACTATAACTTTATTAAATAAACTGTATAATTATAGTTACAACTTATTATTTAATATTATATTAGATTAGAACTAATTTATTTTTACACCAAATCTCTATCTAGTAAAGTTATACTTGTTTGAACCTATCTAAGATTTTTGCATTTTGATTATTCTTATTAGTATTCTATATATATTTCTTATATTACTCATATGAGCTACAAATATATTTTTAAATAGATATTACAACTAAAGTTTTGTAATTAAATTGCTTTCTAATTTGGTGGTAAATATTAATCAGCTTTCTTTTCAAATATAGACTTACTAGTTCTCTGTCTGTCTTTTATTTTTATTTGCTAATATCTTTTTGAAATTTTTTTTTTTTAAAGTACTAACCTTTGTGGCTCTTATAATTATTTATTTGTACTTATATACTGTATTCTTATTTTTAAACAGAAACTTCTACAGTTGGTTAGATATGATTATATTGTATAATATCTAAATATTACTTAACAAGATTTCATAATATTTTATTACTTTCAACTTGGGTATTTCAACTTAATTGGTGTTTTAAAGTTGATATGCCCTTAATACCTGTTTGTATATAAGTACTACCAGCTTGATATACTCTAGCTATTTTAAATATTTATATATTTTTTAAATAAAAACTATTATTCTATATTTAAAACCTTTTAATTCTAGTCTTTTTATGCATGTGCCAGAAGTGCTTCCAAATTTTGATAAAACCAATTCTTTATCACAGACTATCCTCATATTTACTACTTCTTTTACTACTCTAGTTTTAGTTACTGTTGTATTACTCTTCCAATCAAATCTAGTACTACAATATTAGTTTAAAACTTATATACACAATCTAATAATTACTTTTCCAATCAAATTCTTCACAAGTTGAATACAGGGATGTTGGTGTTGCTTAACTAAAAATATAAAGATATTGGTACTACCTGCTTACAAGAATTTACTTATATAATCTTTAGTAACTTTAAGGGTAGTGTCATTTATCACCTGATTATTTTTTATTAGAGACTTACTCCCCCTCCCCCCTCTTAATATAAAAAAAAATCAGGTTCTTATATATAATTTTAACTTTTTTACCCCCTTCCCCCTAAAAAATCATCTGATTTTTGTCATGTCCCTAACCTTCTATAGCATTACTGCTATATATAGTGTCTACACTTCATGATTGGGTCTCCTTTCAGGAATTTCTAATCCAATTTTGTACTTGCATGTAGACTTCTACAGGGCTTCATATTTGATTTAGCTCTAATAGGTTATAGTAATAAATGAATAATTTGCCACCAGTCTGACTCAAACCATTGACTTTGTCTGTAGAGGTTTGGGAGCTTAATCAATAAGCTACAGAGCCCAGACCCCTACCTAAAAACATTATTTAGCATGATCAAAGTTTTATATTATATAGTGGTCAAATTTCAGAATATCTCATAAATATACTGTAACCCATTACCACTAAATAGAATTTAACCAATTAATATAGCATTTTTATTAGTATACTTCCTTAACACAAATTTCACACATTACTAACCAAAAATATGTATGCTGAAACAAATTCCAATATAACCATTTTATATTCTCTTTTTTTTTAATCTTCTATTTTTTCTTATACCCTCATATCTAATTTTTTTTTTTATTTATAATTCCCTTTAAAATAAATTTACCGTAATAATCAACATACATAGAAATAAAAATCCCGAAATAGTAAACCTAAAGTAACCACTACCTATAAATAGAAATACACGTACTCATTACGTAAAATTAATCACTTTAAAATAAAACGATCCAACTTAATAAACCCCCCAAAATTACCTTCTTAGAAATATCATCCACAAAAAATTTTCAATTCAACTAAAAAACTAACTTCATTAAACTCTAATAATAATAAAATTCACTATTCCACATCTTCTGAACAAACCAAAAAAGACTCAAAAATTAGCGATCCAATTTAAATAAAACAAATTAAACTCGTTCATCACTATCAAATAAAATTAAAAAATCTAAACACGTAATACATAATCAAAAATCTTAATTACTCCAACTACACTGCAGCATACTTAAAAAAAAGAACAGAATAAAACATCAATATTAAAAATATAAAACAAAAAAAAAACACTTGCAAAACCAAAAGAAAAAACATATTTCATTCAAAAAAAATTATGATAAACTCATAATCCTAAAACTTAGCAAACCTTTTACTTAAAATTTCAATCTCTCCAATCACACTGCATAATTTAATCATAAATAAACTTATAATAAACTGCTCAATTTTACAGCATTAATATTTATTAAACTTATTTCATTTATATAGCAAACAAACATAAAAATTAATGAACACCTTCAATAAATCAATAAATTCCAAAATAAATCATTCCAAACCTACTTAACGTAATGTTATAAATTGGCGGCGAAGCCGCCACAAGTGCTATGCTAGTTTAATAATACGTTTAATTAATTAATCAATCAATATCTCAAAATAAATCATTCATGTTCCATTTGACGCAATATAATAAATATCTTCATTAAGTGATAATCCGCAAGTGATCGGCACAATAACCATAGTAAAATCTGGGGTTAAGATCGTAAACAATGTTGAAATCTGTTTCTGCTCCGAAGTTAACTATTTGTTTTTTTTTACTAAGTAAACCTTTCTTTGAACATTAATAAAGTTTTAGAGCTAATTTTTATGGTTCTAATGGTGGTAAAATCATCAAATCGGCTTAGTGGATGGCAAGATACAATGCAATTAGTGTTATATGACTATATAAATTCTCTTTAGATTTTATATATAGTCGTGTAACATTAATATCTTGTATCTTGCCATCCACTGGACCGATTTTGATGATTTTACCACCATTAAAATCATAAAAATTAACTCTAAAGCTTAAAAAAAAGGGTTACTTAGTCCAAAAATAGTTTACTTTGGAAAAGCTACAGATTTCAACATTGTTGACAATGATATAGCGTGATCTTAACCCCAGATTTTACTCGCAGATTATCACTTAAAAATTCAATTAATTTATTGCAATAAATCTACTACGTGTTTCTGTTTTAAAATAATATGGTCTAAATAAATAATGGAGC